TAAACAATTGATCTTCACATCCCCTACCCTTCCTAAAGCCTCCCTTTTTGATCTGCCCCTTTTCCCCTTTTGTCTTTTCCCTTTAATTCTTTTAAAAAATAAATCTACCTACCCTGTACCAGGTTTTATCGATCAGACTTTTTCCCTATTTTTTTTGCACTCCTTTTTTTCCCTTTTCCCCTTTTTACAAAGGAAAATCAGGGGAAAGCTCTCTCCCAAACTCTAGGTAAACCCTTTCCCCCCTTCCATTCCCTTTAATTTAAAAAAAAGCACCAACCATCCCAAAAAAATATATCCCCACCTTTCTTTTTAAAATTTCTATCTTTATCCCATCAATAGGGAAGTAATTATTCAGGTATGCACAAAAAACAGTTTTTCCTAGATTAAACATACATAGGAGAATGTGTGTAGAGAACCTAAGATAAACCCAAAAAATTCAGGGGTGACTTATTTTCCATTGGGTCCTTTTAATTAAACCCTTTTTATTATCTAAAAAAAGAGATAATATCTTACTTTAATTTATACAAAAAAATAAAATGAGGGAAATTTTTATTTCATGTTTGTTAGCAAAAAAAATTCAAAAATCATTTTTCCTTCCTTTTTCACAAATTCAAATTTGGCACCTGTTGACTCTTCTTGAACGGGTTTGTGTTTTGAAATGGCTTTGAAAATATACATTCTTTTTTTTCCATTCCCTTTTTTTTGCTGTGCAGTAAAGGTGTTTGAAGCCTTTGGGCCCGTGGCTGTGGTCCACAAAGTTGTGCTCTCTTCCCCTAGTACTATTTATTGCTTTGGCTTCCAGCCTTACAAAAATTTTCAGCAAAGATTTTTCTGGGGCAAATGTGAGGGAAAATTTTTTTAAAATTGATTTAACCTCCGTTTTTTTTACTCTGCCCTTTAACATTCAGCACATCCATTTGTAATTCATCCTTGGGCCCACTTTTTTTTCTCTTTACCCAGATCCAGGAAGAACCCCACCATTTTATTCGGGTGATTTGGGAGTCTTCTTTCAGTTTTTTTTTTTCAAAAGGGAGAGTAATTTTGAAGAGCAAGCGTATCTATATGACATTGTATAAGGGTTTTAAAAACATGGTCTTGCGGCCTCGTAGAGGAAACTTAATCCCGGCATTCGCTTTCCCTTTTTTACACTGTTTCCCATCAATTTTCCTTTACATGAATGGGTCAAGGGGATTTTTAGATATTTTTTCTAAAAAAACTGAAGTGATGGGGTTTTCCCCTTTCCCCCGACATTAAAATTATTTGCCCTTAAAATTTAAAAAAAATAATAATAATTTAAAAATAATAATATCTTTTTTTTACAAGTAATGTACAAGTTAACAGGCCCGCCCGACATCAGTGACATACTAAACATAGAAAGCTGCTTTTTAAAGCCAAAAGGGATTTCGGGCAAATTAGGTAGTTTTTTCCCCAGGTGTGACCCACACCCTCGGGCTAAAAACCCCGATAACCCCTTTTTTATTTATGGGTGAACATAGACAACTGGGGTAGGAAAAACCCCCCAAATGTTTCCAACTGTTTTGGGGAATTGAACCCGGACTCTTTTTTGGGTTTTGTGCCAAAAAGTTGGCTTCTGTTTTTTCCCAGGGGGTAACGATAGTTTGTTTTCTACTAACCACTTGCTGCAAGTTCCAGTTCCCCCGTTTTTTATTACAATAGCTATATTTTGTGGGTCTTTACCTGGGCAATAACAGAGCACTGTCATCCACATAAAAGTTGGATTTGGGACTTTTACACTGAAAGGGGAATTTTTACATAACATAGAAATAATAAGGAACCCAGAATACTTACCTTTTGGGGGAACTCTACATGCTATTTTGGGAGGGGGGTTCCCATTCTGTTTTGTTGATTTTTTCCATTTGGTTTTTAAATTGTTAAAAATAGGACTTAAAAAACCCGTTACAGAATCTTTGCCCAAAACCCCAAATAACCCGCACATAAAAAAGAGAAACTTACGGGGCGACGTTTTGGTCCCACTTTGGGCCATTTTCAAAGTCACAAAAAGGGGGATTTTAAATGGTCCAAAATCGGACCGGAAAAGTCGTCGAAGCTTCTCTCTTTTTTTGTGCGGGGGAAATTTTGTATCGTTTTCCCGTCACGGGGATTGTGCCTTTTTTGTTATTACGCCCGTTTTTGCTTAAGTGTTTTTACATGATATTTGTGGGTTGGGCAGTATCGAAGGCCTTTTTTCAAGTTTTGTTACCATTCCCCATGAGGGTTTGCTATTTAAATTTCAATTCTCATGTAATCCTTTAGATTAATTTGGGAGGTTTTCAGTTGAATAAAATGTCCTAAAGCCTGATTTGGGAACCATGAAGAATGGTGGTGATGGGGGGAATAGTGGGGGGTTGTGGAAGGAGTAAATGATAAGGGGGTGGAGTAGATATGGGGGGGTGGGGGGTAGTGAGGGGGGGGTGGAATAGTGAAAGTGGGGTTTTTTATTTAAAAAACCCCTAACAAAAAAAAAAGGGGGGGGTTTTTTTTTTGGGGCCGGAACGGGTTTAACAGCATTTTATTAAATTTTAGTGGGGGGGAAATTTTATTTGATATATGAGCAAAATTAAGGGTTTGAGCTCGGGCACAGAAAAAAATTTTTAAATGTAAGGGCAAAGTACCACTGTAATTTTTTTTTTTTTTTTGGGGTAAACTTTTTTTTGTTATTGTTCTAAAAATGTTGTGTTTTCTGAGCACCTCTGCAAAAAAAGTGATTATTTTGTGGGGAAGGTGAAAGGTTTTTGAATGGTCACAGCCCGGGCCGCGGGGGTTTTAAACCCCCGGAACTCTCTCCAGGTAAACTCCAGGTACCCCAGGGATCCTTTTATAAATTTTAAGGGGAACTCTGTGTTTCGTTCCCAGACTGAATGAAGTAGGTTTTGTTAATATTGAGAGTAAGTTTGTTAATTATCCAGGTAGATATTTTCTGTAATTTTGTATTTACAGTATTGGCTAGTATGACTGGGCTTGGGTGAGAGAAGACGTATGTAGTGTCATCTGCAAATAGTGTGGGTTTGAGTAGTTGCGATGCATCTGGTAGGTCGTTTATGTAAATGAGAAAGAGAAGAGGGCCATATATATTAAGTTGGATGAGGCTAAATCAAATTGCGCTTGTTATAATAAGGTTAGGTAAGTTTTCTAAGATTCATTTAGGACAAAATTATTAATTTTTACATTAACATAAATAAAAAATGCTTTTAAACGTATAAAAATTGACCAATTTTACCTAATGTATATATATTCTAAACCTGTATTCCCTGGAAAATCCTAGAGGGACTAGTACCGAACTTGCACACGAAAATCACTCACTACGAAAGCAAAAGACTTGGCAGACGATGCACCATCCCCCCAATGAAAAGCAGGGGTGTCACTAGCACGTTAAGAGACCATACAATAAGTGTCAGGGGCCCGAGACTGTTCAACTGCCTCCCAGCACACATAAGGGGGATTACCAACAGACCCCTGGCAGTCTTCAAGCTGGCACTGGACAAGCACCTAAAGTCAGTTCCTGATCAGCCGGGCTGTGGCTCGTACGTTGGTTTGCGTGCAGCCAGCAGCAAAAAGCCTGGTTGATCAGGCGCTGAATCCACCAGGAGGCCTGGTCACAGACCGGCCGCGGGGGCGTTGACCCCCGAAACTCTCTCCAGTAAACTCCAGGTAATATATATAATATATATATATATAATATAAAATATATATATATATAAAATTTTATAATATATATAAAATATATAAATATATATATATATATTTTATCACACCGGCCGATTCCCACCAAGACAGGGTGGCCCGAAAAAGAAAAACTTTCACCATCATTCAATCCATCACTGTCTTGCCAGAAGGTGCTTTACACTACAGTTTTTTAAACGCAACATTAACACCCCTCCTTCAGAGTGCAGGCACTGTATTTCCCATCTCCAGGACTCAAGTCCGGGCCTGCCGGTTTCCCTGAACCCCTTCATAAATGTTACTTTGCTCACACTCCAGCAGCACGTCAAGTATTAAAAACCATTTGTCTCCATTCACTCCTATCAAACCCGCTCACGCGTGGAGAGATTTCCCGGGGGTCAACGCCCCCGCGGCCCGGTCTGTGACAAGGCCTCCTGGTGGATCAGAACCTGATCAACCAGGCTTTTTACTGCTGGCTGCATGCAAACCAACGTACGAGCCACAGCCCGGCTGGCCAGGAACCGACTTTAGGTGCTTGTCCAGTGCCAGCTTGAAGACTGCCAGGGGTCTATTGGTAATCCCCCTTATGTATGCTGGGAGGCATGTTGAACAGTCCGGGCCCCTGACACTTTTGTATGGTTTCTCTTAACGTGCTAGTGACACCCCTCTTTTCATTGGGGGATGTTGCATCGTCTGCCAAGTCCTTTTGCTTTCGTAGTAGTGATTTTTGTGTGCAAGTTGGGTACTAGTCCCTCTAGGTTTTTCCCCAGGTGTATATAACCCATGTATCTCTCCCGCCTGCGTTCCGGGGAGTACAGGTTCAGGAACCTCAACGCTCCCAGTAATTGAGGTGTTTTATCTCCGTTATGCGCGCCGTGAAAGTTCTCTGTACATTTTCTAGGTCAGCAATTTCACCTGCCTTGAAAGGTGCTGTTAGTGTGCAGCAATATTCCAGCCTAGATAGAACAAGTGACCTGAAGAGTGTCATCATGGGCTTGGCCTCCCTAGTTTTGAAGGTTCTCATTATCCATCCTGTCATTTTTCTCACATGCGATTGATACAATGTTATGGTCTTTGAAGGTGAGATCCTCTGACATTACTCCCAGGTCTTTTACATTAGTTTTTCACTCTATTGTGTGGTTGGAATTTGATTTATAATCCGATATAGTTTTAATTTCCTCACGTTTTCCATATATACTATATTTATATTTATTTATTTATTTATTTGCTTATTTATTTAGTTTTTTAATATAATACAGAGTTTTTTTTAACTAACATAAAGGTAAAATAAGAATGAGATAAGAGTGGAGGTGAGGTAATGAGTGTAGTGTTGCTGCTGCTGCTGCTGCTGCTGCTGCTGCTGAGAGAAGAACAACAAACATGTCTACTGGCATCAAGCTTCCTCCCTGTCCTCCATCACTTAAGCCTCTACAACACTATATTAAGCTCGCTAATGACTATGACAAGAGGGAACCTGTCGTCTCATACTGGGGTGAGATTCTCATCATACTGGAGTATAATTCTCCTCATACCGGGGTGTGATTCTCGTCATATTGAAGTGTAATTATCATCATTATGGAATATAATTGTCATCATACTTGGGTGAGTCTCACCATACTGGAGTGTAATTATCATCGTACTGGAGTGTAATTCCCATCTTACTGGGGTATGATTCTCGTCATACTGGAGTATAATTCTCATCATACTGGGCTGTGATCCTCATACTGGCATATAATTCTCTTATTGGGGTGTGATTCTCATTATACTGGGCCGCGAGTCTCATCATACTGGGCTGCGAGCCTCGTTGTACTGGGCCGCGAGCCTCGTCGTACTGAGCCGTGAGCCTCGTCGTACTTGGCTGCGAGCCTCGTTGTACTGGGCTGCGAGCCTCGTCGTACTGGGCTGCGAGCCTCGTCATACTGGACTGCGAGCCTTGTCGTACTGGGCCGCGAGCCTCGTCGTACTGGGCCGCGAGCCTTGTCGTACTGGGCCACGAGCCTCGTCGTACTGGGCCGCGAGCCTCGTCGTACTGGGCCGCGAGCCTCGTCGTACTGGGCCGCGAGCCTCGTCGTACTGGGCCGCGAGCCTCGTCGTACTGGGCCGCGAGCCTCGTCGTACTGGGCCGTGAGCCTCGTCGTACTGGGCCGCGAGCCTCGTCGTACTGGGCCGCGAGCCTTGTCGTACAGCAATACAATTCCCATCATACTCTGGTGTGATTCTCAACATGCTGGGGCAATTCGGATCACTTTTTTTGGGTTATCCTAGGTTCTCTACACATATGCTGATATGTATCATAATCTATGTAACTGTATTTGTGTATACCTGAATAAACTTACTTATACATTAGTAATGTCATAATGGGTCAAATCTCACATTATACTCTCTACCCATAATCTGCAGAAGGGTGTGTCTGGGGTGTCACACCATTCTCTCATTATTATGTGCAGGAATAGGCCAGGGATTGTGGGGGTGAGTGAGGATTGTAATGTGGGAATGTCCCAACCATTCTCTTCACCAGGGTTATGATCACTGTGAAAGGCTCTTAATCCTTCCTCACATCAAATCTGAATATGTACCTCCCATTCCTCAAGCACTGTGTAAACTCTACAGGTTTAGCTCTTCCCTGTGAACATAATAATGATGGCCTAATCATTTCTAGACGTGTGCCTTTCTAACATAGGATCACAACTTTCAAACGTGTTTGCTTTGATTGTGTTAGTTCTTGTGTGTGGTTACAAATTTCAGCACATTTCCCTATTCAAATTATGCAGCATGATCATAGCCTCCTCATTCTTTTGACTTTTTATAAAGTACAAGTTCAATGTTTTGAACCTGCCTCTATCAGAACAGTTATTGACACAGAAGAGCAAGTCACAGTACTGTGGCTGGAACAAATGAGGAATAACCCTCACTTTGCAGAGGAAGGTTTAGACAACATTTTATTCTATCCTTGACCATTATGGAGTTTTGATACAGTGCATGGTTTTTCTCTATGCTTTTCCTGTGCACATACATCACAGTTCAGTGTTAGCATGCTTGGCTCTCATCTGAAAGGACTGAATTTCAATCCTGACTGAGGGCAAATGTTTTGACATGTACTGCCTTTGTTCAATAAATGGATACCCAGTGGTTAATCAACTTTTATGGGTTGCATCTCCTGGGAGGACCAAAGGACCCTAATGGAAATAAGCTCCATTGCTTGGCCTTCCTGGGTTACTCACCCTCCGAGGTTAATCTAAGTGCAGGCGGGTCCCGCTTATACAGCAGGTTAGGTTCTGGGATACTGCTGTAAAGCGAAAATCTCTGTAAAGTGAAATATAGCCTTTTTTCACTTTCAGGTGCACACAAGAGTCATATAACCTGTTAAAGTAAGTTTATTCTGGTATACACAATAAGTAGAAAAACTGCCAAGTGGTGCTATTCATGCAAATATATTGATTTAACTTTAAAAATAGACAAGACTTACTTGAGTAGACTAGGTTAAAAAGTAGGACTTGTCTAGTATGGACCTGAAAGTAATTTTTGAGTATGGCTTATACATAAATGTTTAATGATAACTCAAGATGCCTAAATTTTTTTTCCAGCACGACTTTATACATTACAGTCAGCCCTGAAACTAGATCGTAAGTCACCTGAAGCTCGAGCTCTCTTATCAGGACTGATGGATTACCTTGAAACCTTCAAGAAGGTAATTAGTTTTTATTTGTGTATAAGTTATTTGTTTATAAGCTATTTGTTTATAAGTATACAGTAGTCCCCCCCATATCTGTGGGGGATACATTCCAAGACCTACCATGGATAGTAGCAAATCCTATACCTTTGATAGTTTAATTGATAAAGTATGCACAATAAGTGGAGAATCAGCACTTTTTCACTGATGGGAAGTACTACACAGCTTCTCTTAATTAAGACTTTGAAGAACTGCCATTATAACTACTTTTTGTGCTTTGTGGTCATTAAGCCATGGTAAACAGCGGATAACTGAAAACCACAGAAACTGAATCCACGGTTATGGGTGTTCTACTTTATTTTGTTTATTTTTAGGTATGTCAATGATTTTCATGTATTGGTGAATGGTGTCCATGAAACCCTCTTCCAGTTTCAAAAATTTTATGCAACAAAATGATAACACATGAAAATGAAGTTTTCTGCATACTGTTGATGAACTAATGTGTACCTCTAGTGGCTCATAATACACTGAATCAGTATTCCAGTTCTTTCCATGTATTAGCCGATGTATCTGGTGTGACTTTTCTGATGCTATCATGAGTATTTTAATGTTGGCAACTAGTACAGTATCTGGAAAACAGTCCTTCACAAACCCCTTACAAGAAGCTTAAAGGTGTGCTACAAGGGAGTGTGGGGGACCATTTGATGTGGACATCATGAGATACTTCCAGAACAAATGTAGAAGCTTTAAGAAGAAACTCTTCAAGTATCTGCTAAGTACCAGATCAACCAGGCTGTGATGGATATGTGGATCAGGGGGCCACCAGTAGCAACAGCCTTGGCCAAGGGCCAGGCTCTGGAAGTTGGAAAACTCTCGAAACCCATCAAATCTAGCCTGGAGATGCATTGTATTGTTCTGAATCTTCAAACTGGGAGCATGTATAATTCTGTAGCATATTAGGGTACAGATTTTTCACAACAGGTAGCTCATGAAAGAAAAATGGGCCTTTTTACACTAACATGCTTGAGTGCACACTAAACATTGAGCTATCATGTACGTGTTTGTGAGATTCATGTTGGATTTCAGACCCCCATATTTGCACTTTGTGCTAGTTAACTTCCAGACACTTAAAATGTGACTTCATCAGTGTATGAAATCTTGGATAATTGTCTGCCTCATCATTCAAGTCCAATGTGGAACATGCAACTTCATAATACTGAGATTTGTCATTAGGTTATAAGGGTCTGGACTAATTGTGCTGTGAAGAGTAGGGTTGACTTACAAAAATTAAGTGTGCTTTATGTAATTTTTTTTTATACAGTCTCCCACCTAGGCAGGGTGAAGAAAACTATAAAGTTCATCTTCTTCTTATATATAGTAATTTAAACAGGAGAAGGGATTACTAGCCCCTTGTTCCTGGCATTTTAGTTGCCTCTTATGACATGCATGGCTTATGAAGGAAGGATTCTCCTTCACTTTCCCATGGATGTTTTTTTTTTTTATTAACACATCGGCAGTTTCCCATCAAGGTAGGGTGGCCAGAAAAGGAAAAATTCTCACCATCATTCACTCCAGTACTGTCTTGCCAGAGGTGCACTTAACTACAGTTATAAAACTGCAACATTAACACCCCTCCTTCAGGGTGCAGGCACTGTACTTCCCATCTCCAGGACTCTAGTTCAGCCTGCCTGTTTCCCTGAATCCCTTCATAAATATTACCCTGCTCACACTCCAACAGCACATCATGTCCTAAAAGCCATTTGAATCCATTTGCTCCTATCTAACACGCTCATGCATGCTTGCTGGAAGTCCAAGCCCCTCGCACACAAAACCTCCTTTACCCCCTCCCTCCACCCTTTCCTAGGCCAACCTCTACCCCGCCTTCCCTCCCCTACAGATTTATACACTCTTAAAGTTATTCTATTTTGTTTCATCCTCTCTACATGTCTGAACCACCTCAGCTCTCTGGAAAATGGTTTTGGTAATCCCACACCTCTTCCTAATTTCCAAACTATGAATTCTCTGCATTATATTCACACCACACATGACCCTCAGACACGACATCTCCACTGCCTCCAGCCTTCTTCCTTGTTGCAACATTCACCACCTATGCTTCTCACTCCATGGACAAAGTTCTTTGTTTCCACAGACTCCTCAGTGCACCACTCTCCTTTTTTCCCTCGTCAATTCTATGATTCACCTCATCTTTCATAGCCCCATCTGCTGACACTTCCACTCCTAAATATTTGTATACATTCACTTCCTCCATACTTTCTAGAATCTCATATCCAATCTTTTGTTACCTAATTGTTTTGTTATCCTCATCGCCTTACTCTTTCCCATATTCACTTTTTCCTTCTTTTACATATCTTACCAAACTCATCCACCAACCTCTGCAACTTCTCTTCAGAATCTCCCAAAAGCACAGTGTCATCAGCAAAGAGCAGCAGTGACAACTCCCACTTTGTTAGATTCTTTATCTTTTAACCCCACACCTCTTGCCAGCACCCGAGCATTCACTTCTCTTACAACTCCATCTATAAATATATTGAACAACCTTGGTATGTATGAAACATGTATGTATGAAACAAAGTATGTATGAAACATGTACCATTGAGGAAACCCAGAGGAAGATCAGATATAGAGAGCGTAGGAGATGGTACAGAAGAAGAAAACGGGTTATTGAACTGCTTAAAAACACACACATGCTACAACAGAGGAAAGATAGACTTAGCAGAGAGATCACTGAATTAGAGCAAAAACTTAGGATGTCATACCTCACAGAAGTACAAAGGGAACAAAAGGCCATACAGGATATTGCAAGAAACCCAAAATATTTCTATTCCTACGCAAAATCCAAGCTAAAACTACCTGTAGAATTGGACCACTACTGAGAGGAGACTCGTATAAATGGCGATAACAGGAAATGAGTGAAATCCTAAAAGAACAGTATGAGTCGATGTTCAGCAACCCACTAAATGACAGCAAGGTAGAAAATGCAGAAATATTTTTCACTCCAGAAGAAGGCTGCACAGACCAACTAACTGACATTAGTACAAATCCCATAGATTTCGAAAAAGAAATGGAAAACATGCCCACTCACTCAGCACCTGGACCAGATTCATGGAATGCTCTATTTATAAAGAAGTGTAAAGTACCACTAGCACGAGCCCTCAGTATTCTTTGGAGAAAGAGCTTAGATCTAGGTGAAATACCGGAGGCCTTAACCCTTTGGGGGTTTCGGACGTACTAGTACGGCTTACGACCCAGGGTTTTTGACGTACTAGTACACCTAAATTCTAGCGCCCTCAAATCTAGTGAGAGAAAGCTGGTACGCCTACATGTGAAAGAATGGGTCTTTGGTCAGCGTGCGCAGTATAAAAAAAATCCTGCAGCACACAGTGCGTAATGAGAAACAAAAAAAACTTTTACCGTGTTTTTGGATTAAAACAGCGACTTTGCACTGTATTTTCGTATTGTATTTATTGTTGTATTCTAGTTTTCTTGGTCTCATTTTATAGAATGGAAAATATATTACAGAAATTGAGGTGATTTTAACTGGTTTTACAATGAAAAGTACCTTGAAATTGAACTCAAAGTAGCAAAAATGTTCAATTTTTACCAAAGTTCAAAAGTAAACAATCATGCCAAGCACCAATACACGTCAACTGGTGATCTAATATTCGTTCACAATGCTCTGATATTATTATAACCATTTCTACACTAATGCAGTAGTCTGCAAAACAGTAAATCTTCTATTTTTTGTTAAAAAAAATTCAAAGTGGAAAGCCAAAGAAATAAAAAGAGGGCCTGGGGATGTGACTAAAGAACAGAGAAAATTTTATTTTAGTGCCAGGGAAAGTCTTTCTTGTTTATTCTGGACCCTATTCCGAAATTGGCATCTTTTTTAAATTTGTGTGAAATTGGCAAAATTGCTAAATTCTGACTACTTTATTGGATAGTTGAAATCGGTAAATGGGTGGTTTCTTGTACTCATTCGATAGAAAAATGGAGTTCTAGCGAAATAGTTATGATTTTTGTCGACTAGTACACTGGAATTGGCCGAAAATAGGGCTCAAAGTGGGCAAAATCGCGGATGTGTAAACATCGTTGAGACTGCTAACTTCGCGAGAGCATAATTCCGTAAGTTTTCCATCAAATTTCATACTTTTGGTGTCATTATGATCGGGAAAAGATTCTCTATCTTTTCATAAGAAAAAATAATTGTTTTTTTTTTTTGAAATTTGGCCGACCCTGAGAACAAATCTCTGAGAGAACCTGCTGACTCCCAAAGGGTTAAAGAGTGCGAACATAGCTCCTTTACACAAGGGAGGCAGTAGAGCACTAGCTAAAAATTACAGACCAGTAGCCCTAACCTCTCACATCATAAAAATCTTTGAAAGAGTGATGAGACAGCAGGTTACAAATTTCATGGACCAGCACAGCCAACATAACCCGAACCAGCATGGTTTTAGAGCAGGACGATCATGTCTGCCACAGCTGCTGAACCATTATGACAGAATTACGGAGGCACTGGAAGACGACAAAAATGCAGATGTGATTTACGTACACAGATTTTGCAAAGGTGTTTGACAAATGCGATCATGGAGTGATAGCTCTCAAAATGAAGGCCATGGGCATTACGGGGAAGGTAGGCAGATGGATTTTCAGTTTCCTAACACACAGAACACAAAAAGTAGTAGTGAACAGGGCAAGATCCAGCATCAGCGAGGTCTGAAGCTCAGTGCCCCAAGGCACTGTCCTGGCACCTCTGCTGTTCCTCATCCTCATAGCAGACATAGACAAAAACACCCGGCACACTTTTGTATCATTTGCAGATGACACTAAAATAAGCATGAAAGTCAGTACGGTAGAGGACACTGAAAAAGTACAGGAAACATAAACAGGGTTTTTCCAGTGGGCATGGAAAACAACATGACGTTCAAAGGTGATAAGTTTTCCAGCTGCTTAGGTATGGAAAGAATGAAGACTCAAAAGGAGCACTATTTAAAAAAACT